AGAATTAACTATGTATGTCTCTATTTGCCAGACATGCTGCTCTAGCTGCTCATACAGGCAGTAATCACTTGCTGACGATCAGTCATACATATGGTAATCATACAGATGGCCGGCCATATAGTCAATAATCAAACTCTAATGGCCGTTCATATAAACACATTCGCACTGATAGCCGGTAATACAGCCAGTAATCACACGCTGATGTGCGGTCATACAGATGGTAATCATGCAGATACAGCCACATTCCCTACAAAACACAAACATGAAAAATGTAAAAAAAAAAAAAAAATTTTGGAAAAAACCCAGTGTAGCAGATCTGTTCCGCCAAGACCAAATACATTAACATTGTCATGTACATTACCATGCCAATCCCTTCTAGAGTTGTCATGACAGAAATATAGTTTGTGAAGATTAATTTTGTCCCTTTTCATTTAATCTATTCGTAAACATTGACACGTGCAAAAAAAGAGCGTTCAATGCGCTGGCGTCCAGGTGCGGGTTAACAGGTTAAAGGGTTAGTTCACCAAAAATGAAAATTAGCCTGCGATGTACTCACCCTCAAAGCATCCTAGGTGTATATGACTTTCTTCTTTCAGACGAATCCAATCGGAGTTATATAAAAAATTGTCCTGGCCCCTCCAAGCCTTACAATGGGGTAAGCAGGTGCTTTTTGTCAACAGTCCAGAAGACGTGAAATAAAGTGCGAGCATCCATAATAAAACGTCCCTCACACGGCTCTGGGGGGTGAATAAAAGCCTTCTGTAGCGAATCAGTGCCTTTTTGTAAGATAAATATCCATATTTCAAACGTAATAAACACTTTTTTTCTCACTTCCACTGACTGTGTCACACAGAAGCAGTCCTGGCAGATAACGTAGGATGTCGGCGTTGTGCAATTAGTGACGAACGCGGAGAGAGAACAAAATGCCGGTCATGAATTAGAAGCACAAAATGAGGATTTGTAAAGAAAAAAAAAAGAGGAGACTGGTTTTCCTTTGAGAAATGCCGGAGCAAAGCTTACTTTAGCAGAGGCATGCGCATGATGCCTACGTCCTACGTCATCTGCAGGAACGGCTTCCCATACGACAGTCAGCAGAAGTGAGAAAAAAGTGTTTATTACATTTGAAATATGGATATTTATCTTACAAAAACGCATGGATTCGCTACAGGAGGCTTTTATTCACCCCCCGGGAGCTATATGAGGGACATTTATTAAGAATGCGCGTGCATTCAATTCAATTTTAAAATTTTTCAATTTTCACATTCAATTTTAGGACTGCGTCAGCCGTCAGGCAGCCTTATCAGTGGCGCACGAAATGCGATGACGATGTAAGTGTCATTGCATTTTAATGCTTTTGTTAGCCTATCCAGTTGAACCCACTAGATGTGGCGCTGCTGCGTTGTTCATTTCATATATTGTGGAAAACGAGCATCAGTGCGGAGAATATGTTGTTTACGTCAAAACTGAAACCAAGCCGTTCACACGGAACGCATATTTATCACATTTTCTAGAGGGACATCTATCAGCGTTGTGCTCACGTCTCGCACAAGAGAGCGGCATGTTTTAGAAAGCCATGTAAAATTAATGTAAGTTCAACTTTTAAAAAACGTCTCAAGACTTTATGGTGTTTTTTTCCCCATCCCACTGTATCTCATGTTTTTAAATGAAGAAAGTAGCCTACTCTTTGTGATTGGTTTTCGGTCCTTTGTATTAAACTATACATACATGCATGGTGCTGTTTTTTTTTTCTTTCTAATTTAAGCAACTTTATTAATTATATATGGTTTATAAACAGTATTTTAAACATTATGCACTTTTTTTCAAAGATAGTAGTGTTATTTTATTACGCTTTGAAGAAGCGTGCATAATATTTTGCTCGATGCGCCCTCTTGTGGCCTCAGGAGAGAAGCCAAAAGCTTTTTTTCCCCCTAACTGGGGGAAATTTTGGGAGCGTCCTAGGCTTTGTCCTAGGCTTTTTCGCGCTGATGACCTGCACCCCAGCAGAGTCGGAGCTGGACTCCTGTCGGACAACATCTCCAGGACGCTGCGCTCCATATGACTAGTAAGTCAAATCTCAAATAACGGCCCTGATGACTTGTGTTCTACCCGCTTAAATGATAGAAGTACTTGTTCTG